CTCAAAGACTGTGGGGGGATACAGAGAAGAGAGGGAAACAAAAGTAACAATGTAGCTGAACTTGGATCCCTGCATGTGAAGCTGCAAGGGTTTAATCCCTGCTCCAAGGCAGGCAGCGGCAAACTGTGACTGTGTTGTGAGATATAGCTCTTGCGTGGGCTCTAAATGGTCCCGGCTCCAGCAGAGACAGTGGCGTGGCTAAAGTCAAGCCCTAGGCAGCCTCCACTGTTGTAAGCCAAAAGCTCTCAGCCCCTCAAAACCTTGTGGGTCTATGCCTACTTATCTTTATGATGCTCCTCCTGTATCACAGCAGTGTTGAATTTCGCTCTAAGCAACTCTCCTGGGTTGAATTCTGCAGAGTCCCTCTGGTATGTGTCACTCCATTGCCATCTTCCTGGAAGTCCCCACAGTTGTAGAAATAAGTCAGTCTTGTCCAGTTCAAGCCAGGCTTCTCCGGACTCATGTATAGGTAGAAGCTGATGATCAGGAAGCAGGATGGTGATGTAGAAGGGGGATACAGACTGGTGGCTAACGAAGTGAGCGAATCTGAGCTTGGCCAAATGAATCCCTCATTGGTAGTCACTGACAGCTCCTGGGATCAGCAGGCAACACAACAGGAGATTTCAGACTATTTTTCTATTATATAATATTATTTTAAAAAAATTTTATTCTTTATATTTTCCGTATCCTACACCATTGTGTTGTTCCATCCACCTACAATGCTGTTACTCATCCCCTTATGCCAGGTTATTCAGTCATCATTTACTGTGAGTTGTCTTTCTCCATCGATTCATTCATGCTCGCTAGCTGCTTTACATTAAGGCCAAGTTTCAGAGTCTTCTGACACCCACTTTGGATGTTTCTTCTTTCCTGTCTTTTTAATGTCTGTTTCTTCATCTATGATGTTCTTGATGTCATCACACAACTTAGCTGGTTTTGGTCATTAGTATTCAGCTCATTATATCTGTCTTGAAAATCCAGGTGATACATACTCAATGTCATGTGTTGCTCTGATGTCTTCTTTTAATTTTCTTCAATTAAAAGATGAAATTGATGGTCTGTCCCACAGTCAGCCATGACTTTGTTTTTGCTGGTGATAATTTAATTTTATTCATTTTCTCTTTCCATAAATGTAGTCAATTTAATTTCAATGTATTCAGTATGTTGTGGTCCTCATGTATAATTGCCATTTATGTTGTTGAAAATATATTTTTTATAATGAAAACTTCATTTGGCTTGCAAAATTCCATCACGTGATCTGTAGCATCATCTCTTTCTCCAAGGCCATATTTTTTTAAATGATCCTCTTTGTTTCCAATTTTCTCATTCCAATCACCAGTAATTACCAATCCATCTTAATTCTGTTTGATCAATTCCAGACTGAAAAAAATGGTAGAATTCTCCAATGTCTCCATCCTTGCCTTTATTGATTGATGTGTAAATTTTAATAATTGTACTCACTGATGCCCCTCATAGATATACGGTACAATCCTATCACTTCTGGCATTTTACTTCAAGAAAGACCTTGAAGTGTTGTTTCCATGATGAATGTGATCCCATTTCCCTGAATTTGTCATTCCTGGCATAGTAAACTGGGTGGTGGTTTGATTTAAAATGGCTATTACCAGTACATTTCAGTTCACTCATTTCTAGTTCTTTTAACTTTTGACGATTTCTAATTTTTCTTGATTCATATTTTCTACATTTCACAATCTGTATAAACACCAATTTATGTTTTCAGCAACTTCTTTTCATTTTAAGGCATACTCCATCAGAAAATGAAGGTCCCAATTCTTTTTAGAGTTTCATAATTGTTATTCTGCTTTCTGCCATAGGACATTTCATAATGGAATGGGCTTCCTTTTCGAATAGTATAAGCAATTTCTACAGATAAATAGAATCATCTCAGGAGTCACTCAAGAAGTAAGACTTACCTATACCACTGCAACATTCTCTTTCCAGCCCATTGCATACCATAAATTCAGATTCATAATGGATCTGTAGAGTAGAGTAGAACTACATCTTATGGGGTCTACGACTATGATTCTTGTCCAGGTAATTTGTTTACTCTTAACAAGAAGCCACATTAATGTAATTCAAAGCACTCACATCATTTCTTAATTATATACTTTGTAGCAGTGTATTGGAAGAATATTTATCCTTACACAGTAAGTGTTAAGCAAATAATTGTTAAATAAATACATAAAGGCTACTTGATTCAAATGTATGCAAGACACTTTTCCCCTATTTTAATTTTGAATATTCTGGAAGCAAACAGGGAAAAAAATTATATGCAGCCATGACATAGAGTTCGTGGTACACTCTGGACCAAATAACATTGTAGAAGTTGAAGTGCAGGAATGTCTAAAGAATGTGAGAACCAGAGAGAAAACTTTGGCTCTCAGATACTACATATCGTCTCACCTAGAGTTTATCTACTCCAAGTTCTCTGTCTTATTCCAGAGCTACCACAGGAGAGAGAGATGGGAGAAGCAGAGCTCAGCATCAATTTAGCATGACCTAACTCATAGAGAGGCTTCAAAACACGTATAGAAAATTGGATTAAAAAATAATGAATTTGTTTCATAGGATTGAAAAACCCATCATATCTTGATTTTCAGTTTATATTTCATAGTTTCAAATTCCCATTTGAAATTATCCATGTCTACATGAGGATACTTCAGTTCTCCAACCAGGTCATTTAACCTAATATCAAAGTCATTTTAAAATCTTGTTTGATCATCCCAGTAATTTGGCTGTTTCCAGTTCTTATTCTGGTTACTTCTTCTCATAACAATGAGTTGTTTTTCTTGATTTTTTTATGTATTTGTTTTATAATGTTGTGGTGGAAAAAATGGGCATTGTGTGATAAAAAATAGTACAAATAATATTTCTCTCCAGAAATTATCTTTTATTTTGTGTAATATTTAAGGAGGACATTTAGTCAATATAGTCAATAGTTGTGGTATGTTTTGTTATTGCTATACTTACCTTCATTGTAACATAGAACTTAAATTCCTCTGTCAGCGAGTTGTTGTTGATTTGTTCTTATTATAAGGGAGCTTCAAAAGTACACAGAGAAATCAGTATCTTTTAGTTAACTTCTGTATGATTTTTTGAAGTCCTTTCATTTGATATTATCTTGAGGTCCAGAGGATATTTTTCTCATTGCTTTCCTTTTACTCTACTTTACAGCTGAGTCTCTCATTTGCTCATTACTTTGTGTTTAGCTTTTGGTAAGGGACGGAGTTTGTCCTAGTTCTTCTAGTCTTGCCTCAGTCTTGGATCAACTCTACACACCTTTGCATGAGTGAGAAGCCATACCCTGGTTCTATCCAACACTTGTGTACTAACCCTGATTATCTCTTTGATAGCTTTGGGGAGGTTGTGATTGCCTGTCTCCTACCAGTCATAATAGATATCTTTTTATTTTTACTGTCCTAGTACAAATAGAGTTTCCTGCCCCTTCCCTAGATCACACTGCACTGCATCTATTGATTCTCAAAAGCAAGAAACCTTTGCCTGTGTCTTGGAGTTTGGAGGGATGACAGGATTCTTGCTTGCTGTGAAAGAAGGGGCTTGCTGTGAAACGGGCAAGGTTCTGTATCTGTTTGCTGTTATTAGGAGCTCTTCCTGCCTTTCTGTCCTATCCTCAGTTTCTCCCAAGAGATGGAGCCAATGGGTGAAGCAGGCTCCAATTGGTCATTCTAGGGCTCCCAGACTGGTAAAATGCCATGAAAGCACAAATGTAACCTTCACTAATTTGTTGAAGTTTTAGCTGTGTCCCTCACGCTCCTTCATGACTATTCTCTCTTTGTACTGTGCATCGCCAATGGTGAAACAGTTTTCCTGGGCCTCTCTGTCTTTGGAGAACTTAAAACTTCCTGCATTTCAGTTTGCCTGGTTGTCTTGAGATCTTAGTTCTCTCTGTTGGTCTCAAGAAAAGTGATCGTTTTACGATGTATCTAGTATTTTCATGTTCTTAAGTTGGGAACAATTTTTCTCCTAGCTCTGTATATCATAGGAAGAAGGGAATCTGCTCTTCTCTTGCTTTGTAGGTCTGTGATATTTATACACCAGGATTCCAGCTCAGATGGGTATAGCTGAGTAGGAATATAGCATATGCGTAAATGGTATTTTATATCTTAAGTATGTGCAATCATACATTACCAAACAATTGTAACTTTGCGTTATGGTAGATTTTTGTAAAAAAAAATTAATGAAAATTATAAGCAGCAATGACACTTGTAGTTCAGTGTTTATCTAGTTCAGTGTTTATCCATAGCAGTTAAAATCATAAAATTGCTTCTATTACATTTCACTTTGGGTCATTCTTCAACACAATTACCTTGTCCTTTCTACTAGGTGGTTGACCAGATTGATACCCTGACCTCTGACCTACAGCTGGAGGATGAGATGACTGACAGCTCCAAAACGGACACCCTAAACAGTAGCTCAAGTGGCACAACAGCTTCCAGCATAGAGAAGATCAAGTTGAAGGCCAATGCACCTCTCATTAAACCCCCAGCAAACCCATCTGCTATCCTCACAGTCCTGAGAAAGCCAAACCCACCACCACCTCCCCCACGGTTGACACCTGTGAAGTATGAAGACCCGCAAAGAGTGCTACCAACTGTCAATCCTGTACGGACCAATGGCACCCTTCTACGAAATGGAGGCTTACCTGGTGGACCAAACAAAATCCCAAATGGAGACATCTGCTGCATACCCAACAGTAACTTGGACAAGGCTCCAGTTCAGCCTCTGAGGCATAAACCTGAAAAAGACAGGTGTCCCCAGGCAGGGCCTCGGGAAAGAGTACGCTTTAATGAAAAAGTGCAGTACCATGGCTACTGTCCTGACTGTGATACTCGGTATAACATAAACAATAGGGAGGTCCACTTACACAGTGAAACTGTCCACCCACCAGGAAAGCTTCCTCACCAAGGCCTTCCCCTCCCTCCTCCACCCCCTCTCCCTCCTTTTCCACTAGAAAATGGGGGACTGGGGATAAGCCACAGTAACAGCTTCCCCCCTCCCAGACCTGCAACTGTGCCTCCTCCCACTGCACCCAAACCACAGAAGACGATCTTGAGGAAATCAACCACTACAACAGTGTGATGTATGCCATTAAAAAATTAAATAACAACTTCTTAATTTCCATATTATAAACATAAAATAATAAGTAATGAGCACTTTCTACTCAAGCAATAAAAGCCCAAATATATTAATTCTGCATTCAGAAAAGTGGCATAAAATCACCTGGTAAGTATGCAGTACATTGTTTATATCCTGAGTATGCAGTATTTTAAGTGTTTTATCATCAAAACTCAGTGAATAATGAAGAAATGACTACATTATTCTTGCCATTGACCTTTGACAAACTGTGATCTACAGATTTAAAGTAAATTGATTTACTCTAAAAGATGGGATTTGATTCACTTTATTCATGTTAACTCATCTATGCACCAATGCCATGTCATTCTCTTCACTTTGATCTAAGACTTTTTAATAAGAGATTTTAATACTGAAGCACTATTTTGCTACTTTTTTTCTAAAGATATTTGTGACTAGTTTTGCATTATTAAATGCTGAAAACAATACCAAAAATATTTTCTATATTATACAATTATCATTATATGTTGAGTTTTATATGCAACATAAGATTTTGATCTGTGGAAATATTATTATGTCAATAAACAATAGTCAATGATGATCAAACCAATGCTCCTCAGAAATAAAGCAGTGACTCATTCAATCCCTTGTTGATGGTCCTCACATGAAAATACACCTCGCACAGCAGGGCTTGGAGAAGATCACTATGAGTGCATGTCAACATGGTCTACGGAGCATGAGAGTCCATGTCATTGGACTCATCCTCCATTTCCCGACCCTGTTTGCCCTCCTCTCCCTTAGCTCCTCTCAAGAAGAAATCAGTAGCAGCACACTGATGCCATGACATGTTTGCCCACCACATCAGCACATGCTCTCTCTTCCAGAGGGAACCCATATTTTTAAGAAATCATGGAGAATAATATAGTTGCCTCTGAAAACAGAATCTTTTCAGCATTTGCCTTAAGCTGAGCTCCCTCAGAACTATAAAACTGCCTTGATTCTTTTATTCCATAGAAGAAAGAGAGAATTGTTTTATCTTCGCATTGAATCACTGTCCTTTTTTTTTAATCTAAAATATCAATTTAGGTCACTTCCCCATGCATGGACCAAGTAAACTTCACAGTGTCATTGGTTTGGACTGATTGGATGGTATTCCCTTGAGGCAAAAATGAGTTTATTTCCCTTGATTCTTGAGGAGAGGAGTGTACCTGAATAAAAGTGTGATCTATTAAGTAGACAGAAAGAAACATTGGCATACAATCAAAATAATTAGAATGGAATTAGAACAAAATATTCTAAAGTAAGGAGAGTCATCTTGGTAGATATTTGTATTGTGGCTTGATAAAAAGTGCAGTGACCTTTCTGTATACGTGTATTCTGATCCAACGCATTACCGTTTGATTACAGAAAGGTAGTCTTCAATCATTTCTTTGCTTTTTTTCCTTCTATCATACAATGTATAAGCGAGTTTCAAGCAATTTTCTATTAAATGCTTATATTTTAGTTAGAGGAAAGTAGAGAAAATAGGTCTTCACTCTGAAAGGCGCATTCACACATGTGTGACAAATGGATGATGCCATGTGTGACGTTTACGTAAAGTGTGGGGTGCCTTGCTCCTGAAGTTAAGGCATGCAGAGTAGATCCAGCTTTCCAAAGGTTACAAACCATGAAACCACTAACCAAGAAAGGGTGTCTTCTAAAACGCATGAACACTAACATCTCTGGGCTTGATGAATATGGACTAAAGAAGGAACTAGTTGAATAAAAACATATATTAACTTTATAGCGCATGTATTTGGAATCAATATAATAAACACCGTTTCCTTATGATGTAGATTTAAGACTTTCCTTTGAAAAGTCCATCAAGTGTTAGAGTGTTTCTGGAGTAGAGAGTCTAAAAAGCATATGGTTCATCTTCTTTCCCAAGTCAGTTACTGTGACGTAAATAGCACCTTGAGTCTGAGATTATTTTGACCCATGTTGATGTTTGGGGAGCCAAGCTAAATTTCAAGGTAGAGCTTTCTACCTGCTGCCACCAACCTGATTCTGATGCATCAGGATCCCCCGTGAGAAACTAGAAACGCTCTCTAGGGTTTCTGACTTTGTAAATCTTTAGAGAGGTTCTGTATTACACCTTTATCCCACAAAGTAGTTGTACTTTTGGAACTATTGAGTTCTGGCAAAAAATCCCAATATTTAACACAACACACGAGTCATCCACCAAGCATAGAGCCTGCTGACAAAAAGACCAGCAGGGATACGAATCTTGAGCCCACATGGCTACATACAGCCTCTGAAATTCAAGTTCATGTTTCTTTCTCCAGATACAAGTCTACCTCATGAAATCTTTTTTTTTCTTTTGATTATAACATATAGTAAAATTATGACACCTGCTATCATTGAACACATCCATAAATAATTATTAACCTGGGAAGCACTTCTCAAAAATGTGTAGTTATTGGCTTTACTCTACTTATTACAATTTATGTATAAGAACATATGTTAAGTTATTGTAGTGTTGATATTCTTAGAAATTTATTTGCTCCATATGCTACTTCCATTTTTATTTAATATGTTAAATTAAAGAAAATAAAACCATAAATGCTGAAAGTTATGGCTTTACATGTATGTAAACATGAAAAACATGGAAAACAGTTAACATAGGGTATCATAATATTTTCTTTTCAACTTATAATTAAAATGTCAGAAATGGCTACACACTACTGTAGTCAGTTAATATAGCTTTCAGATTTTAAAATCTGAAGCATAAACTCTAGGTAAGCCAAAAACCCAAACTCACAGTCATTAGGTTGCTGCCGACTCACTGTGACCCTACAGGACAGAGTAGAAGTGCCCTGTGAATTTCTGAGACTGTAACTGTTTGTGGGAGTAGAAAGCCTGTCTTTCTCCCACAAGCTCGTATAACATCAGTTAAATTATCGTGAAAAACACATAATTTCCCTCTCTGAAAAGCTCACAGCAGAAGTGTTTTCTTCAAAGCTTTAAGAGTTGTTATTTAATGTATAATATGTACTTCAGCACATTAGTTGACACATATAGGGAGCTAGTGTCCATACTCTTTTGAAAGTGTTCTCGCTATGAAATATAAAATGGAAGTAGCCTGTTTAGGAGAATAGCCTTCATAGCTCAATGGTAGGACATATATATTCCAATGAATATGATACTCAGTAATCACATTGAACTTGGAAATGTGTGTCTTTTCATACACAGATTCCCCCATTTTAGGGGAAGAGAGCTTATTATATCTCTATTGACAAAAGACAAAATAAAAAATGAGAAAAATCTATTGTCTCCTCCTCAAAGTGATATCAGTCATAAAAGAAATAAACTAATATTGTGTCCACTGCTTTAGTTAAATAGAAAAATAGATGCACAAAAAAGGATGTGGTTCCAAAAGAAAAGTTTCTCACTCTTCAAATGTTTTTCGGCCGCCTTTATACCTCCTCCCGTTAGTTGGATGATTGTTTTCCCAAGAACATCAGCATCAGTAGCAAAGGCTTTATTAAACTAACCTGTCCCATGTTAGAATTATGCCTGTGCCAAAATTATTTGATTATGAAAGAATAAGGCCCTGCATTTTACAACTCTATGTGGGCAGATCAGTGGTAGTGCTTAGCACAACCAGAGCAGCAACCACACACAGTCTCTAGAACCATGGAAGACCTTTTATCTACAGGTTCTAATTATAGCTTACTCTGGATGACGCTATGAACAAAACTCTAAGTAGTTCTACATCTAATTGTCCTGGGAATGGAATAATAAAGGATGAATCATTGTCTTTACTAAATCATGGAATACATTCTGTAACAAAATGCCAAATCTTGTAATAGGGCAGAAAATCACTTTGTTCTCTTAATTTTCTGTTGTTAGTATATTTTCCTATGTCAACACTCAAATTTGTAGAGGAGATTGAATTGCAATGTTCTCTGCTTAAACACTTACTACTTATATGTGAGGAAATGGCATGCATAATAACGTGCTTTAAAATGCCAGCTTGCATGTTTGTGCAGAATGCACAGGATCTGACAATTCCTAGATACTATCGACAAATTACATGAATTTTTCTGGGTCACTGCACCGTGACACTGTAATTAAGGTTTTAGGCTAAACATTTGAAGTTTTAGAATAAATCAAGATGTGTTACACTGAAATAATGACAGATGTGATGTTATTATTACAACACAGCAGTGTAGAACATAAAACTGCAGTTAGCTACATCTTATTGCAGCAGCAAATTATGTAGGGTGCTAGTTCACGTGAGACAATGGCATTTATCATGCTGATCTTGTGGGATGCTGATAAAACTAAAGTAGGATATGAAGAAGCTAGGCAGATAATCCTGTCTTTACACTAGATTTCACTCATCATAGTAAACACTGTAGTTGTTTGGAGGCAAAGGGAAAGTATGCAGGACACATTATTTTTAATTTGTGACTCCAGGGCAGATCAAAGATCACTAACTAACTGCTGTCAGAAAACTTCCCTACATCATATTTTTTTCTTAGCCTCATATGGATGAACGAAATAGGCACTATTATCCTTATTTAAAATGAAGAAAAAGAGAATCTCACTTTCAATATTTGGCCTGAAACCAGCCCTTCAGTTAATGACTGTGCTGACATTTCCTGCCGAACTGCTTCCCCATGATTTTATACTTCTCAACATCACCACTGAGTTGTGTTCTTCATTGCCCTGGACTTTGCAAATCTTTTCTTTATTCTGAGCAGGTATTTTGATGCTTGAAAGAGGTTAGCTAATTTTGTTTTGACATTCCTATTATGTGTGATCTTTGTACTATGAAGGGGAGTTACGGTTATTTAGTAACTGCTCAAATGAATGAGTTTCCAAACATCACCAAATCTCGTTTTTTCATGTACCGTGCCAACTGCTTCCACCTCTCAGCCTTTTGTCTTCATTCAAAAGTTGTCCATTGTTTTGGAGTTTTTCAAGTTCTGGTTTTCTGCTTTGGATGCCATTTGACCTCATGTATGTCTTTATCAGGCAGTGGCATTTCTTTTGTGAAATTCATCTGCATACCATTTGACCTGCGCGCTGAGAATAGTAGTAACTATAATCTGCTCAATGTCTAAAAGAACAGACATTGGCAAGCTGTCAAATAAATGCATTTCTCTACTTTGCTATTAGTTGACCGATGTGATGTCTCACTATCTTATTATATAGTTGTCGTTTCTCTAACTACCAAAAGGGAATATAGGTCCAGTTGAAATAAAACATAGATGATGAAAACACACATCATCTCTAACCCTTACTTTATGTCAAAAACTCATCCAAACTTTTTGCAGTATTCTTTCCCTTATAACGTGTTCTCCCTTTATAAAGTGCTAGGTCCTAGATGATGCTATTCACATTTATAAATGAGAACACTGGCAACAAAAGCCTCCTGCCCAATGTCACAGAGCTGGTCAGTGGTGAAGTGAGGCCCGGAGGTTGGCTTCTGCAGGCTGCCTTCACAGGTCACTCATGACCATTCAGAGAGGCCTACACGTACAGCTCTTGAGATGTGCACGTAGAATAGCGATTCTCAACCTGTGGGCCGCGACCCCTTTGGGGCTTGAATGACCCTTTCACAGGGGTCACCTGAATCATTACAGTAGCAAAGTTACAGTTATGAAGTAGCAACAAAAATAATTTTATGGGTGGAAGTCACCACAACATGAGGAACTGTGTTAAACGGTCGTGGCAT